AGTTTCTTCTCAGACTTTTCAGAACCGTCAAAAGTACGTGCTACTTCTTTACTCAGAACTTGCTAAGTGGATTTCTATTCAGAACAAAGTCTAACGGATTTACACAAGTCCTGGAAACTTATTGTAGATTTACACCGCTTTTTATTGGTTTGTATTCCTTTGTATAACTTCTCTATTATATGAATGCCCCAAGATCTTCCAAGTCTGTACTACCACCCTCGATTAGAGCTTGCAAGATAAGCCATCCATTAGGTGATCATTACTCTTTGCACCTATTTGGTCTGATTGTCGTTACAAAATCTATATCCCAACATCTGAAATAGTTATCAATATACAGAAGAATTCGATTTTTTGTTGTTAGTGGAAATTGAACTCTGGAGTGCCGCTTGGAGTGACAACTTGACCACTTTACTAAGTTGCCACACTCTTTATTTTTATATAGTTAAAATATTAGTTATATTTATTATATTATTATATATTAGTTTATATATATTTAGATAGAATATTATATAGCAATAATATTGAAACATTTTGATTGGCTATTGGAAGTGTAGTACAATTACATAACCTTACATGACCTCAGGTAATATAAAGTTATACAAAAGAATACTTTGGGTTATACAAAAAGTAATACAAGAAAGTAATACAAGTTCACCCAAGTTCTATTACACAAAATCTCCCAAGTTTTCTTTACACAAACACAAGTGTTTTAGATACAAAATCCCCGAGTTTTTCTTTACTAAGTTTCACCTCACAAACAATAAATAAAATATAAACAAATTAAGTAATGTTTATATTTCATCAGTATAATTTCCAACTTTCCCACTAATGTTATTCATCCCAATATCCCCTTACATACTGTGTATCTTTTCTTTGGACAGAAAAGATATATAAAGAGTGTTTTTTTTCTCTTCCTACCAATTCTATAAGTTTCTATATTTCACTTAGACTCTGTTCTCTTTATACCCTTTTTATAAATATGATATTCACCCTCTAAAGTAATTCTTACAACCAAGATTTATTCTGTATTCTTGTATAAAATAAAATTATTCTATATACTTTTACTATCTCAAACTGTTTGCCTTCTACTATATAGTTAAGTGAATAACTACATGCATCCAATATATATTAGTAAAAACTTTAAAGTATTATAACTTTTTTAAAACAAGCTAAATCAAAAAACCCTCTGGCAAATTGATAAATTTTTAGATAAACTACATTTCTGTCAAAATTTTTTTTTTATTCTTTGTTTTGAAAAAGTTATAAAGGATTAAAGTTTATATAAGCTCAAAAAATTGATGCTTAATATAGAAAAAAAGAAACTCTATATATATTTTTAACCAATCAGAATCAATTACACAAAAAATTAGCCAATCAGAATTGATTATATAAGTATCAAAAATTGGCGCCTATATGTATATAGATTGGATGTCTTTTACTGTCCCGTACTGTACTAAATAAAATGTTTGAACTTCCAGAAACTCATCCATATTATTTTACTAACAATCACTTCACTAACAACTTAGTTCGCCGGTAATAATTTCCAGGCAAGTTTATTTTACAAATGATTACAAGTTCGTTATGAAGCATATCGTTTGAATATCTTATAATTGACTTGACTGACTTAGATCTTGCTCGTAAAGATGCCATTCAAAATTTCCTTCAACTTTCCATATTTTAAGAGAATTATCTTCAACAACACCAGTTTCTAATGAATCTAATTTATCATTATTCTCTGTGAAATTGATTTTAATGTTTCCGTTCATTAAAAAGTCAAACTTTCTCTGGCCCGAACAAGAGGCGATAAGGGGTGAATAAGGATGGAATGTTGCTGCCGAAACGGCATCTACAATCATAAACTATGTAAGTGTTTACCAATAAATATACGAAAAATATTTTAATAATACGTACCTTTATGGCCTATCATTTTCAGTACCTGACGTGGAACACCATCATCATCAATATCAGCTAAATCGTAAGCTATAATATTTCCTTCCTGTATCATTAAAGCAAAATATCAAGATAAATTGAAATAACATGAAACTTATTGTGTTATCGCTTACTTGATCGCCAGTAATCAAGAATCTTCCGGAATAGTCAATATCAAATGATAGCTTCTGATTCGTATCACCTCGTCTTTGTAGGCGATATAAAATTTCACCAGAATTACGGATATCCCAGCAACAAATGCTATTATTCCTTCGTGATGTCGAAAATAAATAATGACCAGAAGGTGAAAATTGGACCTAAGATCGAACCATTATTCAATTAAATTAAATGTTATAAAATTGGGATAAAACTCACCTTAAATATACATTACCTGGGTAACACCTCCAATTGGTTCATTCTGTGTTCCACATAAAAGGAATAATAACTCGTTATTAGATTCATCATAAAGCCCAATTGATTGTGAATAAGAACCCGCAGCATATAAACCTGAACGATCAGGATTAAAAGCCAGGCAGGATATCACTCCTATTATGCATGTTATTGAATATCAAGTTTTTAAAAGAAAATAATTTTTTAAGAAAAATAAGGACAATAATAATATTATTGACCTTTTTGTCCCTCTTTACTCTTACGCGTAGGCGTCGTAGGATATTCTTCACCATCACTGCCCGGCCGATTTGTATAGTAGGTTTTAATCATATTCTTATATCCGCAATATATCCTATAATGAAATCATTAATCGAACTTTACATTAATAGTATTTTTTTAATTGTAAATAGAGCTTACTGACTTCTTATTCGGATGATATTCGAATTACCCAGATCAAATGTATATATCTATTCGAATATTCACCGAATAAGAAATATTGATCAAAATAACGAATATGAAGCATCAATCAGAATGTTATTACATATTGTATATTGCTTACCTGGAACCATCCAAGTTGAATGTTAAAGAATTTGGTCCAATAACTTGTTCACGATGATTGATAATAGTAAAAGAATATTTTAACTATAAACATAATGTTTATTTGACTTTTTTAGTATTTATTTAAGACAATAACTACATTTAACCGGGGGAATCCCTCCCTTAATTATTATTAAAAATTTAGGGTTAGGGTGTAATTTTAGACAAAGCTTAAGGTTAGATATTATGACACTAATTTTATTTAGCGGAAGGTTTTTAGGGGATCTGAACATTTTTACTTAGTACCCTTGACTAGGGATGGGTTCGGTTACGAATTATTCATAGCCAATTTGCTAAATACTGAGATGATTTTTTTATTTTTGAGCTATTAATTAAAGTTGTTGAATTAAATTTTGTTCATCCCATCTTTGTAAGTGGAAAGAACGATGCCTTCTCTGGGACTCAGAATTTTAAAATTTGTTAACACCATAACCAGTTATTAACCGCTGGATAATAACCGGTTATGACGATAGCAAATTTTGAAATTCCGAGTCCCAGAGAATGCATCGTTCTTTCCACTTATAAGATGGGACGAACAGAATTTAATTCTGAACACTTTAATTAATAGCTCAAAAATAAAAAAAAATCATCTCAATATTTAGCAAATTGGCTATGAATAATCGTAACCGTTCGTAACCGATCCCATTCCCTACCCTTGACGTGTATTAGCTAGTACAATTTTGAGATATAGCACCCCGGTGAACTTCCCTTTCGGTGAAAATTAGCAATTGCCTCTATTTAATTTATCAATTTGGTAATATAAATTTTATTCACCTTTCCGGTATACGCATCCCATAGATGAACTGGGTGTTCTCGGCTAGACACGAGGAAGAAACACGTGCTCGGATCTGCGTATAGTCACGTGGACAGGGTATTTGAAATAAATGGAAAAATATCTCTTCTTTGACTATGCTTCATTACCTTGACTAGACATTTGCGGGTACCAACAACATTCGTACACAGATTCCCCCGAAAGACTGTATATAGCCGGCTCCATGTCTTGTTCTGCAATATTAATGACAATCATATTAAGTTTATTAAGATTATTACCAAAATACTAATGAATGAAAAAACAATCACCTTCATTTGCATCAAATATGTTAAAAGGTCTATAAGAATGCAAAAAAGTGTAAACATAAATCATTGCCAAAGCATATAGAGGCAATACGTACAAATTAAATACTCTCAATGTATTATCATTAGAAGAAGTTAAGATGCATGTTCCGTCAGGAGACCTTTAAAAATTTTTATTTATATAAGTGACACGTATGTTCTTTTGCAAATGTAGTCATTTAATCTCGACGTACATACCATTTCGCTGTTTTAAAAAAATTGCCTTCAGATCCATTGGGTATGTAACCCAATTCTTGTTTCGCGTTGAACCACATTTTTTGTAGACTTTGCGAAACAGTTTGGTTAAAAAGATTCTTGGTCGAGCATAAAGGCGTAAGTGGTTTCGAAAAATCATATTTAAAAGTTTGATAATATGAGAATTGTTCTTGTGAACTCTGTTGAAGTTGCGAGATAGAAACATCAACGTTGTCCACTGCAGAAGATTCAGAACTCATTGCTGCGTATGACGTGACAAACGCCGATGATAATTATAAGTTTAACAAATATTACCGCACTCACTTTTTTGATACATCTAAACATACCCTAAAACTAACCAATAGGATAACGTATTAAAAAAGCAAGTGCAGGGGTATCAAAAACGTAAGTCTTGCATAAGATTAACAGTTTATAATACAGTAAGATTTCTCTAAGTGCACGCTCTATAAATGCACGCACTATGTAAATTCTCTCTAAATGCACGGCATAACTTTTGCTCTCTATAAATGCATTCTCTCTTTAAATGCACGTTTGCTTTTTTTTGACTATGGTCCCGAGGGGAGGCACTTAGGGATGTCTTACTGTACATTCTTTTAGAGAAATATTACAAGCAATAAACAAAATTTCTTTCTTAATAGATAAATAATAACATTCATTTAAAAAGTTATATACAAGTTATATTAAAGCGTTGCACGTAACATTTAAACATATTGTTTGGTAATAGTCTTTTCAAATTTATCGTGTAATAATATTACTTAACCAGGTGGCAGCATAGTAGCATCCACACCAACATCCTCTTCTTCTTCAGTAGCAACAGCTCTTTTATCCACAAGCGGAGTGCGTGGAAGCGCCATCATACCTGTAACGCGTCGATTTATGAATCACAAAAGCCAAGAGTGATAACAATAAATACTATTAAATTGACATAATTATTTTACAACTCACCACTTCTTGCAGATTCCAAAATACCAAAAGGTTTTAACAATTTTATAAATGCGTCAAGTCTAGTAGGTTTAGCGGTCAATTCGACTACAACGTTATCACTTGCGACATCAATTACATGAGCTTTAAAAAGGTTACAAAGATCAATTATCGCGCGAAGATGTGCATGCTTTTGCCGTAACGCCGCTGATGGTGTTAGTGGTGAAATCTTATTATCGATAGGGTCATCTTGTAGTACAGATGTGGCATCGGGGGACTATAGATAAAATTGAAGATCTAATAAATATATTCTATAGGAAAAATATAAATAAAATTTTGAATGGCATTATACCTCAGATTCCAAGTCTGCCTCAGGCATAAATTCATCGTCATATTCATTATGTTTAATAGCAATCAATTGCCCATGTAAATGCTCCGGTCCTAAGATGGATACTTTAACCAACAATAGTTCACGTTCGACGATTGATGTTTGTGTATAATCGAGCACTGCCCATACAGGAACCTTAAGATAATAAATACGATTAATAGAATTCGACATATGATACAAAACAACAAATACTTACCAAGTCTTCTAGTTGTCGTCTTGCTTGTTCGATGACCACATCATGGCCACGTAACACGATAGTCATTCTACTTAAGTCAGAAACCTCGGTCCTAGCCACAACTAATGAATCAATGTTGAACCCTCTTCCTGCAAGAATCCCGCTCACTCTACTAAGTACTCCAGGTTCATTCTGTACAAGACAATTTAGAACATGTCTTTTCGGAGGGGTTGGAAAAGGAGCGGGAGTGTTATATAGAATATTAGTAACAGCTTCCTCAGCCGACGGAGTTAGCGGCTCTAATACAGGTAATGGAGGAGCTTTTTTGCGAGGGTGAGTAAGCTTAAACTCAACAGCAGAAGTCGATGATTTTGTAGATTTGTCACGATTAAATATTTGGATTGGATTCGCGGGTATAATATATTTTGATGTAAGGACGTTTCCCCATTGATTTTTCGAAAAAGCAATAACAGAACGAGACGAATGCTGAGAAGAAATGTAATAATATCAACGCCCAAGAAGGCTTGAGTAAATTTCCGTCATACATTTAGATTTTTACTAACCGACGTAACGAACTTATCCCACGTTGGTAATATTCTTCGGGAAATACCCGAATACATAACTACAAGTGAAGTCTATTGTTAATGAATATGGACAGTCATAATATATAAACCTGTACATAAAAAATTTTTTTTTAATCTGATCTAATTACGCAAATTTGGTAAGATAAACCCAAAAAAGGAGTAGATTAAGGGTAGGGTGTACAAATTTCCAATTTCATATAAAATAGATTGTAGATCAACTTTGTGTAACGAATTTTATAT